TGCGCCTAAGCCAAACGAAAAAGTGGAGGGGTCATCTGCAAATCCGCTTGATGACTTGACTTCCATATTTGATGCTGATGAAATAAAAAATAATACTTTATCTGCAGCAACTAAAATGGATAATGTTTATAGTTCTTTAAATATTTTAGAACCGATAAATGTGTTTCCTACATCGGCTACCAGTGAGTCCAATGCAATATGTAAGACTGGGACCGTGGCGGAGAAAGGTGCCTACCGAAAGCTTCCTGACATTGACAAGCTAAGCGAAGATCTCTTTCAAAAGTCGTTGCAAGATTTAGAAAGAGTATACAGTTTTAATAAAAAGTGAGTAAATGCGGATTGTTAAATAAATACAAAATATACATGCATACAAAATATTCTTATTTACAGAGGTCCAGAAAAACTAACTTTAAATACCCTAGCGAAAGAAAAGGCCGCATTAAAAACTCTTAACACTTCGCCATCAAAAGTTCTACCTAATAGCATTGAAAAACAAGTTCTTCAGCGAGCAGATGATGAACTTATACTTAAGAGCTCCAGTAAAGACGATGATGATGTAGTGCTGTCAACGGAAAGTGACCACAATGGGACCCAGGCTTTAGCTTCAGAAATTAGTAAAAATATCGTAGTTGATAAAACTGTGAAAGAAAAGAATGTAGTGAAACATTTAGCCGATATTGAAATTGATTTGGATGAAGTAGAACCAACTTCTGTAGATCGCACACTGCTCGATGAAGACGACATAAAATTGACGTTAAGCTTCACGAGAAATCGTCCTAGTAAACAAGTGTCAGTGATTGTAATCTCCGCAATTAATAAAAGTAAATCGCCAGTTCATGATTTCAAAGTTGAAGCCAGTGTACATAAGGTAAAATCTGTTTTTTTTTTTTTATCGAAGGTGTGTTAAAATTACTGATTTTAGCCATGCAAAGTGCGTCTTTTGCAACCAACTGCAACAACAATGCCGCCTTGCAAACCCTTTCGCCCAGCGTCTCTTGTCAATCAAGTTATGCTATTGCTTAATCCTACAGGCAAGCCGATTGATGTTACTTGTATTTTTAGCTACAAATTGGACAGCGATCCAGATCCTATAAAGGAGTCTCACGTAGCAAAGGATATACCGTATGTTGAATAAATTATCTGTACTGAATTAGGGTTGTTTCAAATGTTAATTTAAGGTTTTAATTCACTTGTATAATGAAAACTGAAAGCTTTGTTGTAAAAAAGGCTTAAGTTATCGTCTTGTATTAAAATGGTATTTAAACATTTTATTTGAATGCTGACGCCTACTGTGAATATTTATAAATGAAATCTTATGTATGTATGTATATCTATACAATATCGCATTTGCACATTTGGCGCAATATCGTTTGTTTACACCATATATGTAATACTTCTATATTGGCAGTAAGCTAACTTCTCAATGTGTAAGCATTCCGAAATCAAATCGAGACGGTCTAGTACTGTTTTTGTCAATGTATTGTGTACTTGAGTGCCGTTTTTGTATATGTGTTGTGTACATGTTTATTTATATACGTATCTGTTCCTTTTCTTTCGTACGTGTTTATTGATATATCCGTACTGTAGTGTTTTCGGACGGTACTAGCTCTTACTGCCAATATAGGAGTATTACATATATGGTTAACACACTTATAAAATAGTAAAAATAATGCTTAATATAAAACTACATATTGTACTAAGAATAAAGTTGGGGTAGAAATATGCTGGCGTTATAACCAAGAATTTTAGTATATAAACATCGCAGAGCATGGGGAAAGGTGCCTTTAGTCTTTATTCTTGAATATTAGACTTCAAAGTATGTGGTAAATAAGCAGCATATACCACCACTTGTTCTATTCTTTTCTTTGCGGCAATTACATAAATTTCGTGACCCACACAACAACTTACCACCCGTTTCACTCCCTAAAGCGTCATGTTATTCCGATACTATTTCATCTTTGAATGACAGAGCAGTTATAGCTTTAGTGTGACCGGTGTACTTTCTTTCCGCGTTCTTAGTTTGCAGTTTCCATAGGCGGGCTATGCTGTCGGATGAAGCGGTGAACACATATTTAGAGTCAGCGCTGAACGCTGCGTCCCACACCCAATAATTATCTACAGATAATTCACGCCACATCGTAAAATGCTCAGTCTCCCAAATGCGCGCAGTTCCATCACCGGAGGTAGTTATCAGCAGTCGAGAGTCTGGACTAAATTTGCATCGCAATACATATCGCTTATGTGCTGCTATTTTAAGTTTGGGACTAAGAGTACTTAGTTGTTGATTTGGCGATGAGCTAAGAGACCAAATGTAGCAATTGCCTTTATTGTTTACAGCTGCCATGTACTGTCCATCAGGTGAAATTGCCACATCCTGAATGGACGCATCTACCTCCGGTATCAATTGATCATGTACCTCAGATTTAACATCCCACAAATAAACACCACCGTTTTGTGAACCCATAGCTATTTCTACTTGATTTGGATGCAAGCAGGCAGCATTTACAGGAGCCTGACAGTCGAAAACTCTTGAGCAATGTGGCTGAGGTGACAACATATCCCATATGCGGACACGGTGATCTTCGCCAGCAGTAAACATCCAGTTGCCGTCTTCCTGAAAACCTAAGCGTGTTACATTCTTTTGTACACCCTCAAAGTTGATAACTGGAGCGGTGCAGCTGGATTCCATATCATATAAACGAATGCATTGATAACCGCAAGCTGCCAATCGAGTTTTGTCTGGTGTGCGATCGAGAGCATTCACTTGCTAAAAGCAGAAAATGCACATATGTTTGTAAGCGGAGATTGTTAACAATATAAATCATCATAACTTTGAAACTTACTGATGTCTCAACGAAACGCATTGACCGAATGCAATTACCGGTGTGCGCCTGCCACAATTTTATTGTGTGGTCATAGCCACCTGTGGCCAAAATTAATTGATCGCCAGTAGCTTCCATAAAAACTCGGTTTAGAAAATGATTCTCAAAAACACACACATGAAATGTTATCAAAAACTAAGCACAATTCTGGAAAAGACAACCCTTAAGCTCGGAACACTTTGACGACAGCAAGCGACAAGCAGCATCTGTCAAATTTTAAATACACACGTTCTTACGGACACAATTATTTTGACGACAGCACGACATCTTGGCTGCAGGACTGCAATTGTCGACGTCGCCAAATTAAATCTATTTCTAATTTTGCCGGCGACAATGAGTAGATGTAGTGCTGCAAAAATAAATTGTCGCAAAATTAATCACATATTCTTGATTGTTCATGTTTTTCTTATTTACTTAAATAAAAATACACAATTTGTGAAATAAATATACCAAAATATCAAACTTTAAAATCAGCTGTTTGCTATGTCGCTGAGGTCTTCAAAATGTTTAAGAAGCTGGCTTCAAGGCGACATTTGTGGACAAAATGATGTCGCTGTCGTTACGTCGTGAAGTTGCAGTCGTCAAAGTGTTCCGAGCTTCACCGCGAATTAGGGATACAAAAACATCGCAGCACTATCGATAGAATCGATGTTTGAAAACATCGATGTTCTTTACAATCCATGTTTTTTACGGATAACATTGGCTACACACGACGAACATGTGCGCGGACATGTGCGCCAACATGCTTACTGTCGTCTGCCACGGTGAGCAGCTCATATGTCGGTACAAAAAATAAATAAATAAAGAAATAAACAAAAACCACGCGCGCATTATGCTGTTATTTTTCCGTTTTCTTATTTTGAATGCAATCTTGCAATCTAAAAATATAATTCTAAAGAATGTTCTTCCCAAATAAAACCTTTTCATATTTTGGTTCAAATTTACCTCATCAGATTTTACATAAAATTAGGCTTTGTGATTAGCGTATCACCATTAGCTTTCACAACTTTTGAATTCAAAGTTTTTGATGTACACAAAAAACCTGAAGTCGGCTTGAACAGACCATCCGCAGATAAACAATTAACATATCGTCGTACGAAGTTCATCCGGATTAACTCCTAGAACTCCAGAACTTACAGGAAGTCGTTCCTATTGACATAAAACTTGTAAGTGGGAACACTTTTGAGAGCGTAACTGAGCAACTGTTCCTAGTCAGAAGTTACAGGATTTAGTCCGGAGTTTTTTTCTTGTAAGTTCATGAAAAGTGTCAAACGATCAGCTGATTTGCATGTGCAAACAAAAACAGAAAGCGGTGTAAGCAAATATCTTTATATTTGTAAAAAAATGGAAGTAAACAACGAAATATTTGATTATGTATAGATTTTAACTGTTATGCATACTTGGCATGTCTTGAGGGTTGTCACATAAAAAAATCTGTTAAATGAGCTTCGAGTGTAAGCGGTTACCCAACGCACAGCCTTACATACGTAGAAGTCTGTTGGTTTTTGATTTCTACGTTAAAATGGTATAGCAGTGCATGCACTGCCAAGTATGCATAACAGAGCCTTAACTAATTCAAATAGGAATCCAATTTAAAATGAATAAGAACTTATTTCGGTGACTGCATTACCGACGACAGGGTGGATGTCTATGCAACTTTTGCAGTTTCTTTGTGTTCTACGCTAACTGAGCAAATGAAGCCGCTGATTCCTTCGTCCGCGGTAGCCGAGTGGTGAGAGCTGCGTACTACAAGCCTGTAGATTCCAGGTTCGATCCTCGGTTGGAGCGATTGCCAAAAAGAATTTGTTTTTATTATTTATTTTATTTTTCTAAATCTTATTTGATTTATATATTTAATTGCTTTTTATTTTCTTTTCGTTTGTTTTATTTTATTTCAATTTTACTAAAAAAGTCAAAACCAACTAACTAAACACAACTTAAAAAAATATAGAAGTTATAATTGAATCAATAAAAAAAAATTAAATGAATATTCTACTGGCTGTAGGACTCGAACCTGCGACCTCGCGGCTCGTTAATCCGCATTACCGTCTGCCAAGCCACAATTTTAATCAGATCAATTGCGGCGTTAATCCTGATCAACGTCTATCGCCGTCTGTCTATGCTTTTACGCGGTTTTACAGAATGACGATACGCGGTTTTGTACTTTAAACGACGATATGTAAGTATAATTTTGATCACTTTCTTCATGCGTTCTAAAACCTAGTCGTCAACCCCCCATTTTCGAGATTATGTAGCCGGCATAATTTTTAAGTCCATCATATTCCATACCTTTGAATGTACTGATAAAACCTTCTGCTAAAAAAAATATTTCTTCTACATAGTGAATAGGTAGCAAACATTATATGAAATGCCATAATTTTATTAAAAGTCAAATGGTTAACAACAACAACGAACGTCATTAAATGGAAATACCTTCTTTTTTGTATCATGGTTCACGCTTTCTTGCTTATCAGGTTATCTGCTTAAAAATAATTTTTCTGTGGTGTATTTTATTTGCGCTGTTCACAGTTGGTTCCAAATAGTGTCTCAAAATGTAGACGTCTACATTTTAAGGCTTTCTGCACATTGGTCGTCCAATAATTATTGGACTATTATAATTATATTATTATATTATTATAATAGTTGCTTCATCGGGGGCACCGAAATTGCGCATATGGAAACTGTGCATTTAGACATTATTTCGGTTTTCAACCGAAACTGTGCATGTATGTATTACTTCGGGTTTTTGTTATATACATTATTTCGGTTTTCTAACGAAATCGGGTAAAATGTTGCAACTGCATTCTCTATACAACGCTCCAAAAATCGCTCTCATTTACAGGATTTTGAAGGAATTTGGAGTACGGGATCATTTTTCTTGTAACTTCCTGCAAGTTTGTGTAAAAACCTGTAAGTTCATGGAGTACTGGATCAGAGCTAATGACAATAACGACACAATTCAAAATTTAAAAAATTCAAAATCTTACTACTGTTAAGTGCCGCGTAATCCTTGTCTAATGCATGTCTAATCCTTATTAAAGTAAGTATGTATCAAGGATTGCTTAAGTAAGTACCACGGATTATACATGGATTATACAAAGATTAGAGAAATGAGACACTTAACAGAGTAATATTTGGAATTTTTTGAATTTTTAATTGTGTCGTTATTGCACAGGACCATCGATATATTATATATATGTACATATGTAAATTCAAAACTTTAAATTTTATTTCATTCCTCATACCGAAGAAAGATACATTTCAAATATAGAAGTTAGTCTTATTTTGAATGACTTTGTCTTTCAGAACAAATCTCGATTAGAAGAATAATTTCTGCACTTATGCATGATCATGAGCTCCTTAGAATAAACCATATCGAAGTTAGCGCCCTTTCTTGCTGGGTTATTATTGCAGTTATTCGTATTATGTGCAGCTGAAAATACATCAGGGTGGTCCAAAACCTTTTTTCCAGTCTCCATCCAGAATTGAACAATATCGAAAATAAGGGCACCCGTATTCTTATACCCCAGCGCCGTTAGGGCCGTTTTCTGAAGTAACCTTCAACTTTAAAGCTAACTTTATATTTAAAGGTTGGCTTAAAAATAAAGCTTTGTCTAAAGTTAAGCCATACTATTATCGGTTTTTGACTTATCTATGCTTCTTGGTTGTAAACCAATTTAAACCCGATAATAAAATGCTTTACTTTAGACACAACCTTAAATTTCAATGCAACCTCTAAATATAAAGTGAGCTTTAAAGTTACAGGTTGTTTGAGAAAACGGCCCATAGTGTATTATAACTTTTTTTCGCATAACGATTGTTTGTAACATCCTGGTATATAAACCAAAATGCTCAAAATGAATAGAGAAGTTAATTAAGCCATGTCTGACTGTACGGCCGTCTGTCCGAGTATACGATGACGATTATTGAAAATCCGACAATAACATAATTTTTGATCGAATGAAAAAAATTCTCTTCAGAGATTATCAAAACATGAAATTAAGATGCATATTTGACTTAAAAATAATCTTATCCCTTATATACAAAAATGTTTTATTTTATGGATTCGCAACCACATCACGCACGATATGAAAAAGATTAAAAACCTTTTAAAGTTAAAAAAAAATATCATAATTTTATTTTTTGAAAATGTCTGAAAAGAAATATTCTTATTATGGGGGTGGCAGCACACGTAAATTCCAAAACGTGAATTTTCCTGTGTAATTTTGGACCGCCCTAATCTACATATAAATATGTATACATACATATCTGTCGTCACAAGCAATAACCGCCTAAGTCGACTTAAGAAAGAATTGAGTTATATATGCTATCGTATTCTGCAACTAATATTCCATGTGTACGTGAAGTCCCCATCTCGCCACCTAGGCTATTTAAAAAGTTATAGACGAGCATATTTTGGTTTCCCCATAAGTTTAACCTTACAAACGAAATGTTAAAAACGATTTTTGTCGAATTCAGGCTTTTCAACTTTGGCGGTTATTGCTTATGACCACAGACATGCATGTATATATGTATATATGCATGTATATATGTATATGTATATGCATACATATCCCTGCAGAAAATCTGACTAGCCTAGAACTAGCGTAGAACTAGACCTTTTGCCGACAGTACCAGTTCTAGCGCAATACCCAAGCAATGCTTTCAACTGTCCAGCTTTACACGGCGATTTCATTGGCGATGGCAATTGTCGCCCAGTTTCTAGCCGGTTCCATTTTGGACAGTTTTTGTTATGAGATAATATAATTTTTAGCAAAAAAACCGACTTCCACTCTCATATAATAAAAAAATATATATGTATATATATCTCATGATCCACTGAGCGGAACTTAACTAGATTAGTGGTCCAAAGTTATGCGGTAACATACATAAAAAAAATAAAAAAAAATAAAATATTCCGACGAACTGATAACCTCCTCCTGTTTTGGAAGTCGGTTAAAAAAGTTTTTGAGTTTTGATTTTTGGACATTTTTGGTTTTTTTCTTTTCTTTTACAGATCCCGTTTTTGTTACTTATTTAATTAAAAAAAAAAAAATATTGTAAGCTAGCTGCACGCAACAATTTAAATTCATTAAATTTGAAAACTCACAACTGCCTCCACCGCGATTTAAACTAGCGACCAACGATGGTTGAGTCG